TATTACCTTTTTCCTTAGCCTTATATTTTCTTCCTTATCCTTATTAATTTTTTATTCAAGCCGAATGACCCTGGCCAGGGTTACACTCTCTCTCTTTTTCCCTAATCCAATTTACCTATTCCTTAAAGCCTAGTTTCACGCGACAGTAGTTTCCATCCCACATGACTTACGGTTATAAGAATCTGAGGGCCCATATTCTTAATTTTTAGAACGGAGTCTTCTCGCACATCCACCCGCAAGCATTCACACGGGATCGAACCGGTGTACCCTTTAACGCACACACAGCCACACGAACTGACCAGCGCCCACAGTTTATGAGAAAACTCACCATATACGCCAGCGTCTGGAGCGCGAGTCAGCTCGATGGAGCCCGTGATGGAACGATGAATTCAGGCACAACACGGTCCCTGCGTGGTCGCCAATTTCTGTGGTGTCCGAACAATAATGCTGCGATGATGTGTTGAGAAGAAACCCGCTTGACTGCAGAGCTTGACTTGATCATAAAAGTTTAATAAATCAAGGAGTTCAGCATCAATTACAAGCTCTGCAGCAGCTTGGAGAGAGACCCAGCCCGATGGCCACTCTGTCTCTCTGTACATCAAACACAGCTTATATAGGGTGTGTTTAGGTATCTGGTACCAGAGAAGGGTTCAGTACTATTCTGAGGTAACATAACATGGGGTCAGAGGTCAAATTCTATAGAAGGGTTCACTCCCTACATAACCATCAATCACTACTCCCCCCTAACACGGGGTCACTGACCTTCTGTCCAGCTGCTAGAGTCAAATGCACATATGTTATACACCACAGTCCACCACGGTGAGTCCAACTAATTCACAGTAAAAGAGTAAATTCAGTATTTATTCAAAGAGAGCAGAAAAACCCCTGGATGTATGAAGTCATCTTTTAAAGAAAAAAGCACTTCAACTTAAAACAAGTAGGTGAAAATGAAGCAGTCGTGTCGCCATGACAATAACTTAGACCTGTGTGTATACTAACATAATAACTAAATAATTAAATAAAGTAAATCTTCTTCTTCTTAAAACCTGCTGCAGGAGGATGTTTAAAAGTGGCGATAGAAGACAGAGGCCAGAGAAAATGTATTTTCTTGTTCAGGACCAGCGATGAAAAGATTTTTTTTTACTCTCCTTGAAGAAACTATGAAATAAAAAATACATTTTCTAGCTTCTTATCCCGTGTCCTTCATGTGTACGTTGTTTAACTCCTCCCTCAGTGGCAGAAACTCATTATTATTATATCGCAGTATTCTGTGTTTTAATACTTAATACCACTATTTATCATTACACTTCTGTTAATACTTTAAAATACAAATAATCTGCACTCCTCCTATATTTTACTTATGTTTTCAGATTTGTACATTTCTTACATTTTCTACTTACCGGCTTTCTATTATTATTTCTATTCCTTTCTGCCTCGATGTGCTTAGTGAGCAATGGTAACACAAGAGTTTCCCCTCAGGGATCATTTCTGATTAATAACATAACAAATATAAAATATATAAATATAACAAAATCCATCTTTTCTCTTTCTCCTACAAACATTTATCAAATCTATCAGCTAGCCGGTATAACGGCACTCGACCCGTTAGCTTGTGGGTTTAAGTTGTAAACAAAGCAGCTTGTTTGCATTTCTAAAACATGGTCGTCTAATCTGATCTTTGATGGGACTGATTGTAACTTCACACCTCTCACAGGACAGAAGATAAAGATGCTCCAGTATTTGACATCCAGGAGACGAGTTAAGAGACGGAAGATTATTTTGTGTCTCCCGACTTTAAAGGAAAATATAGAGATGGTGGATGAAAGATTGATCAGTGAACTGGTGAAAGGATGAACGAGGGAGAGAAATGGATGAACTGATAAGACGGTGGTTTCATGAATATTCTTCTGTCACATCCTGTTTCCAGGATGGCGCCATCGTCAAGACTCGCACTGTCCCTAAACACGTCTCCTCCTGGACTTTGTGGATCTGATCACACGCCACAGAATTTGATCATAGACTGTATATCGGATTTGATCTGATTCATTTAAATTGGAGAAAAACCTTTAAAAAGCTGATTACTGTATTTCCCCCCTGCAGCTCCGGCCAGAGTCACCGCCCTGCAGGCGGATAACGACCACACCACCCACAGTCTCGCCGTCAGCTGGGAGAAGCCGTCGGGCGTGTACGACGGCTACAGTCTGCAGTTATTGGACGACATTATTATTATTATGTACATGTCGGAGGTGGACGTGATATAAAGGCACACCTACATGCATACATGTACACAGTGTGATGGAGCATAGTGCAAAGGATGCTGGAATAAATAAGTAAGTCTTCTGTGCTGAGGTAGGTGGGTGCACAGGAATTGTTCCTGACAAGGTGAGGCAGAAATCAGCTGTTCATCAGAGTGATGGCTTGTGGGAAGAAACTGTTTCTGAGTCTGTTGGTTTAATAATAATAAATAATCCAGCCGTCGAAGCGTCATTAAAACGTTAAACTATGTTTTCTGTAAAGATACTGAAGGTAAAATGCATTTAATTCCTGTAACCAGCTCACACACACGCAGCAAACATGTGGCGCTGCGAGACTTCCGCATAGTTACTCTATGACGCACTCACCTCCAGCCAATGGCAGAGTGGGAACCGCACAGTAACATTCGCATATCCTGCATTTAAGAAGAACCAGCGCCGCCAGACCGGCTACAATTGACTGCGAGCAGAGAAATTGTGACCATGCCTGAACCAGCGAAGCCAGCGCCCAAGAAGGGCTCCAAGAAAGCCGTGACCAAGACCGCCGGCAAGAAGGACAAGAAGAGGAGGAAGACCAGGAAGGAGAGCTACGCCATCTACGTGTACAAGGTGATGAAGCAGGTCCACCCCGACACCGGCATCTCGTCCAAGGCCATGGGCATCATGAACTCGTTCGTGAACGACATCTTTGAACGCATCGCCGGGGAGGCCTCCCGTCTGGCTCACTACAACAAGCGCTCCACCATCACCTCCAGGGAGATCCAGACCGCCGTCCGCCTGCTGCTGCCCGGAGAACTGGCCAAGCACGCCGTGTCCGAAGGCACCAAGGCCGTGACCAAGTACACCAGCTCCAAGTAAACCCGCTCCACATCCCCGAGATACAGAAACAAACCAACGGCTCTTTTAAGAGCCACACACACTTTTCTGGAAGAGCTCAGTTCCATCAACATGTTCAGTATCAAATATTTTAACGTTCCCTGGTGGGAAATTGATTATAATTATTCACTGTATATATTAAAGAGTCAAAATAACTACAAAATAGAAAATGTCTATGTTGTGGGATTTGTATAGTAACAGAAATGAAATGATAAATACATTGTTGCCTTGAGATTATGTTCAACTGTAGTTGTGCATGTAGTAAATACAAAACTATCTAACCAGAAGTGCTTCAGCAGTAATTAAACATGATGCAGTGATCTACAGAGTGCACAGTATGAATGAGATATAAACATATGACATGAATGTCTAATGCTGCAGGTTGAAACAGTCTGACTATAGTGTGTGTGTGTACAAATATTCACAAACATAAATATAGAAATATTAATACTGAAAAGTTAAAGGGATCAGAAATGTACAAATATACAAAAAATACAGTGTAATTAACAATACATCATTAATTATAATAGTACTGGTAGAGTTGACTGTTAATAAATCAAAACCACAGACAGTTGGGTGTTTAGGTGGGTGTAGAATTAATAAAGAAGTTATATTAATACAATAATATATTATATTTCAGTCACTTCATATGGTTAAAAAAAGACAAAACAAGGTCAACATATAAAGACCACAACTATTAGTTGAAAGCTAAGCTTAGGCTTAATCTTAATCAATTATGAGTTAAACAATTACATAAGCTGTCCTGACATTAGTGCTACTGTTTTATCTAAATAAGTTGCATCACATTCTTTTTAATTACTGTAAGTGCGTAGTGCTGTATGGTGCAGGTGATGGGAGTTACGGGTATCACAAGGGAGATGGATCTTCATTTAGCACCAAGTCTGCTGGACACTGTGTTACACTTCATTCTTCATGTGCAGTACATTAAAATATTCTGTTATTGATTGTTTAAAAATGGGGATATGTCCAGAAAAACTGTCCTAGTAGTACAACAATAACACCCATCAAGGTAGTATTTATCAATATACAACACAAGGTTGTATGAGGAAGTCCCTTCATGCTGCACACAGAACTTAACACGTAAGATAATTAAATGTATATTAAAATATGGTAGAAGAAAATAAAACACTACAAAGCCGTTATTTAGCCTATATACAGTACAATGGAAGTATGGTTAGTAATTACTATAGTTTATTTCAAATAAATTGGTGTGTTTCTGCTTGGTTAGAGTGTAATTTGGTGTCTGTATTATATAAACATTGATGCTGTCATGCTCATCCTGTATGTTTAAGAAATAAGAAATATAGTCAGTTAAACGTGTTTGTTTTTTATGCTGATGTCAGGTGTCTTTTGAGTGTCGCTGTATAAATAAAATGTATTATTATTATTATTACACAGTCTGTATTTATAATAATATAATTATATATATATTATAATAAGGCATTGAGGTCTGGCTGTCATCTTGCATTAAGAGCAGTCAGGCCCGACCTGTGGACAGACTGAAGGCCACAGTAAGAAGTGCAAAACAAAATGGAGAATAATAATGATGTAGGCGTCAGCTCGCCCGACTGTGAAAGAGGAGGCCGCCAGTCGCGTTTATTGACCGTGTACCGAGTGTGAACCTGAAAAATCATGTCTGGGAAAAAAACGGGGCTTAAAAATGTAATAATAATAGATAATTAGACACATTTTCACTCTTCAGAGGCCGTTTCCTGTTTCTATCCTGAAGGAGAGCGGTGACGTCAACTGTTTCTTTTGTTTACCGTTCCCGCCCACAGAGAGCCGTTAGTCCTCAACTACGTCCGCAGACTGACTTTAAGTACCGGCGCTCAGGACCCGTCAGCTACCAGTTTTTCCTTCGGAACGAACTAGACGCTGAGAAAATGAGCGGCCGCGGAAAAGGAGGAAAGGGACTCGGCAAAGGAGGCGCCAAGAGGCACCGTAAAGTGCTCCGTGATAACATCCAGGGCATCACCAAGCCCGCCATCCGCCGTCTGGCTCGCCGCGGCGGAGTCAAGCGGATCTCCGGTCTGATCTACGAGGAGACCCGCGGGGTGCTCAAGGTCTTCCTGGAGAACGTGATCCGCGATGCCGTCACCTACACCGAGCACGCCAAGAGGAAGACCGTCACCGCCATGGACGTGGTGTACGCTCTGAAGAGGCAGGGCCGCACCCTGTACGGCTTCGGAGGCTAAATCCGATCCTCTAACGACACAACAACCAAAGGCTCTTTTAAGAGCCACCCAACTACCTCAAAGAGCTCATTCCTTAAATCTTGAGACATCATACAAAAAGGAAAACTATATAAATATTACTTTTATTGTGTAGTAAGTGTTGGTGTGGATTCACTTGAACAAGAAGCTGATGTGAATAGAACATTTCTCAACAAAGATGTTTGATTTTTACATGGAAATAATGGTAAGCAGAAACTACAGCAAAGTGTACATATCTAAATATAAAGGAGTGAAAATGTACAGAAGTGTAAACTTGTTGTGATTAGGTGCTAGACATAAACATGCAGTGTCCATAAATATATATGTATAAAAATACATAAATATGGAATAAACAGTAGGTTATTGACATGCATTACTCTGGATTTGTGGTGATGGTGCAGTGGATAAGACACATTCCTTTCCTGTGGCACACTCACCAATGGGTTCCTGAGCAAGACACTGAACGTGCGACCTATGACATATCAAGCAATTGTAAATCGCTTTGGATAAAAGCGTCAACTAAATTAATAAATGTAAAGTATTTGACTGTATTTGCGCACACACAATGTCATTATTACCATCGTAGCTCAAATACAGCCAGACATGAAAAGGGGTATAATTAGACCATCCTGGTGACAGTAAGATACTTATGATAAATCACACACTCACCCCTAATTACTGAGTTTAGATATGGATCCTTTTATGAGTATTGATCCTAGAGCAGGAAACGCTGGTTCCGCATATAACTACCCAGAAGGGCATATCTGACATTTAAGGCAAAATGGAGATAGATCAAACGAAAGCTCTTTCCATTGCCAAAATGAAACGAGTGAATTCTTAATCAATTTGGAGTTATTGATTAAAAACCAAAACACTGAACATGCTAAGCCAGTTGGTGCTGACACCACATGTAACCCAGTTCCGTCAACCATGAGAAAAAACTGTTTTTATCTAAAGAATATCTATTATTAAACTTACTTAATGATGATTTTAAGAGTTGGATGGTGATGAAGAAAATGAAAATATCCAGACTTCAACATCAGTGAATATGATGAATATACTCTGCTCAAATAAATTAAGGGAACATATCAATGAACAAAATAGTTTAAATCTTTACTGCACATTGTACACTGTGCTCATTATTGTGGCCCCCACGCGCCTGTACGCACTGCCAACAATGTGTGGGCATGCTCCTGACGGTGTCTCTTCTCAGACCTGGATCAGAGCATCGGTGCGCTCCTGGACCGACTGTGGCGATAACCTGGCGGCGTAAGATGCACAATACATAAAGTCCCAGAGGTTCTCCATTGGATTCAGGTCTGGGGAACGTGAGGGCCAGTCAGTCCCTCATCCAGGAACTACCGTAGCAGGACAGTTATTTTCTAAATCATCTAGCTGATTTGCCCATATTAGTTAAAATTATGATTAAAACATTGTTCTCATGTTGCACAACTTTTGATTGCTAATGTGTGTTATAGAAAATATTTGCAGGTTTTAAATCTGTATTTAAGTAGAAATATGAGCAAACGTCTTCCATTTGAGGATTATGGAGGCCACTGTGCTCTTAGGAACCTTAAGTGCAGCAGAAATTTTTTTGTAACCTTGGCCAGATCTGTGCCTTGCCACAATTCTGTCTCTGAGCTCTTCAGGCAGTTCCTTTGACCTCATGATTCTCATTTGCTCTGACATGCACTGTGAGCTGTAAGGTCTTATATAGACAGGTGTGTGGCTTTCCTAATCAAGTCCAATCAGTATAATCAAACACAGCTGGACTCAAATGAAGGTGTAGAACCATCTCAAGGATGATCAGAAGAAATAGACAGCACCTGAGTTAAATATGAGTGTCACGGCAAAGGGTCTGAATACTTATTTCAGTTTTTCTTTTTTAATAAATTTGCAAATATTTCTACATTTGTTTTTTTCTATCAAGATGGGGTGCTGAGTGTACATTACTGAGAAATAAAATGAACTTTTTTGATTTTTGGAAAATGGCTGCAATGAAACAAAGAGTGAAAAATTTAAAGGGGTCTGAATACTTTCCGTACCCACTGTAGTTTTCTAACTAACGTTACTGGCGGAGATAAATAAATAAACAGGGCTCAGATTAGGGGGGTGACGGCACACTTGGGTCATGAAAACAAGACAAAAATATATTTTAACAGTATTTTGATTAAATATTCGATGCTAAAATAGGCTACATCAGTGGAAGACTTTGAGTATTAAACATTTAATTTCCTGCATTCTGAAAAAATTTTCTGCACCAATTTATGGTGGAAATGTCTTTATTTATATGAAGGGAAACAAAATTAAGGCAGGTGACAATTCACAATATAAAGGAATATAATGCAGTTAT